ACACACACACACACACACACACACACACACACACACACACACACACACACAAAAAAAAACACACCTCAGTTTGACTCTCCCTGCCCCTGTTTCCTTGCCACAGGCTAAGGAGCGAGAGCTGGAGTTGAAGAACACTTGGTCCGAGAACAAGCTCAGCCGCCGTCAAACCCAAGCCAAGTACGGGTTCTAGGCTCCGGACCTGACGGCAGACCCCAGGGTCTCCAGTAGCCCGCGGGCCCCGCCCCCTCGGGGACACCGGCTGCTCCACGCCCAGGACCTCTTTCCTCGAGGATCTAGCCCTCGCCTCTGCGAGAATGAACATATTTGATAGATTTTTCTTACAAAAGTTAGAAAACTCGGCTCCTTTCTGTCTTGGAGCGAGCAAAGACTCGAGTGGTGCCTCAGAAGGGGCTCAGAGTTCTTGGATGAGAATTTGCTCCCTATTGGGTGTGATGAAATGTTGAACCCCTCCCTCCACCTTTTTTTTTTTTTTTTAACCAGGGATGTCTGTTGAAATAAAACATTCAGTCTGACAGATGCTGCCTGCCCTACCTCCTTTCCTACTTTTTAGTGTGGCCTCCTTTTACATGTTGGGCCTGTCTCATGTGGTGTCCTGTCTCCGCGTCTGCTTTTACCTCGTGTAAAGCACTCCCTGGCCAGCGTGAGTTGCCTCGATGATGACCTCGCCTTTGTTTCTCTGGACCTAAAGCAGGTCCAGAGAAACTAGGTTCGTGGCCACTGAAGACCCAGGAGTTGTATGTAAATTGTGTTTGGGGCAGGAGCCTGTGGTCCCAAACATGGGAAATACTGCTGTTCTCAGGTGTCTCTGAAGATTGGGGAAGTCAGGAGATTCTTTCTGTGACATGAAAGAGTTGTTAGACACAAAATCCATTCCAGCAAGAGGTAAAGTGGGGAAATGCCTTCCCTGAAGATGATTGAAGTTTTCACTGGTAGTTGGCCTAGACTGGTTTGAGAACTTTGCATAGAGCTTGGGGGCTGGATGAGTCTGGGAGTCTTCTGGATCCCTAGCTTTTTGGCAGCAGGAAGGGCTGGTTTGGGTGGGTGCTTGGAGAAGGGAGCTGGTGGGGTCTATGGATTCAGTTAGCTGTCCGGCTCTGTGAGGCCCAGAGTGACAAGAGAAGGAAGGCATGGTTCCTCCCTGCCAGGGTGCATGGAGGGAGGGAAGGTGCGTGTACTGGTCACAAAACTGCAGATTTTCCTGAAATGTGTGGCTGCGGATACTGGGACTCCAGTGGGGCTTAACCGCAGTGGCATCCTGCAGGAAGAGAGTGTTGAAGAAACTCCTGTGAGAAGAAAGGCCTTGGGTGCCCATCAGAGGAGCACTGATTGGACAGAGATGCTTGACTCCAGTTGCAGGTTCGGAGCAGGGACTCGACAGAGGAATTGGTTTTTGACAGTCCCGGTGACAGGGAGGTTCAGGCCAGAGGGGCAGTTTAAGTGTGTGGTGGGGACTTGGGGCTGAGAGGGAAGAGGCAGCCGTGTGGCCTCTCACCATCCTTCTGGTCCTGGGTGCTGGGTAAGTTGAGTCTGTTTGCCATTAAGTGCAGTGGAGGGTTTCATCACTTACAGGAAAACCACCCACTTATCTGAAATCTGACCTACTTTGGGGTTGGAGCCAGACAGGGCTCTTGGATCCCTTAGGGACCTTCAGGCTGCAGTTGTCAAAGTCGGTGCATTAGCCCCACCACTCCCATCATCCACAGAGGCACTGGGGACTGAGATCGCCCCTCTGGGTGTCTTAGGTGGTGAGGCAGGTTTAACAGGGCCAAACCGTCTGTGTCCTGAGGAGTCAAGTGCTCTTTCCTGTGTCCATTACGCTGCAGGTGCAGCGCTGCTCCTGGGTGCCCTACTCCCGGGGCTGCAGCCAACTTCTCATTCTTGGGGTCGCCTCGCGATGTAGCGGGAAGGGCTCTGTGCCCGGAGGCAGGACATGCTAGGTCGGGAGAGCCCAGTGTCTTCTGGGAATGACAGGCCAGATATTTTTTAGGTTCCCTTTGCCTTCCGCCCCCTTTGATTCTCTGCAAGTCATTTTAAGCCACTTTTTTAAAAAGCCACTTTTTAGTTCTGTCAACAATGACCTTTTATTTAGCGGGTGGAATTTCTCGGTCACCAAGAGAAATTTGACAGGTTAGAAAGTTGACAGCTTCTGGGTGGTAGTAGCCTCGAGTCTGGTAAACAAACAGGAAAGAGAAGACAGGGATGAGGGAGAGAGGAGGCGTGAGGAATGGCACTTGGTTAGAGTCGGCAGGCAGCAACAACCCGGGGGCAGAGGGAGGAGGGGTGGAGAACGTGGTGGGAGATGGATCCCAGTCGCTGGCAGGTTTTGGAGGGGCCGGGGCCCAGTTCCAGTGTATTGACCGGACCGTAGAGCCTAGCAGCTGAGCTACACAGGGATCCAGCTGTCAGGGTTTTCAGCCTCTGGCCCTGGGGAGGGGCTTGGCCAGGTCTTCTCCCCAGCTGGGTGCTGAGCTCGCTGTCCAAGAAGCCACAGTCTCTCGGAGGGAATGGTTGCGGTTCTGTGGGCCTTGGGAAGCTCTGTGCTACCGACTTCCACCCTTTTTACCCTCTCCTCCCTCAGCTTTCAAGCAGGGTCCCGTGTTCTCAGGCCAGGAGAGATGGTTGAAGGTGGGGCCTCTGACGAGTGGGTTCATGGGCAGCGATGTGCTGTGGAATTGGGATAGCTGAGGTTATGGAGTTCTTCTCCCCCCCCTGCCCCTGAGCCAGGATTATAGGACCTCTTACTGAGATTGTCTTCTGCTTTCGCTGAGGGAGCAGATAGGATGAAAGGGGCAGGTCAGGGGAGGCAGGAGCAGGACAATATGGACAGTCGTCAGGGTCAGCCACGGTGCTGAAGGGGCTGGAGCTGGGAGGTGTGGCCGTTCTGAAGGGGACCTGGGCTGGGGGTGGGAGGTTCCCCTCAGACCTGAGAGTGGGCTGTGCCAGAGAAAGCCCTGCCTGGAGAAGGCAGAGGAGGGATGGACTGGCCATGGGAAGGTTAGCAGGGAAATGCCCCACCCCCATCCCCACCCTCAGCACAATGGCTCCAGCTCATTTTCCTATAACAGTTACCGTCATCCTGAGGTCCCACCATAGCCTCAGACCGTAGTTTGGCAGTGAGCGAGCAGCAGGGTGTGGGGCCATGATTTGGTGCGGGGAAGGAGGCCCCGCCGCCTCGTCCTCAGGGCTGGGCCTGCAGCGGGGCTCTCGGGAGGATGGGGCCCTGTGGTCTAAGGGAGAGCCCGGGGTTGGGATGACATGATCTGGGCCTGCCTGCGTCCAACTCCCTGTCACTTCCCCTCTCTAGACCTCAGTTTCCTATTTAGTTGAACCGAAGTCAGTCTCAAGGGGTCTGAGGCCCCTGTTAGCCCTAGCAGCCCTGCCCTCCAAGCCCTTCACTCTGATGGTCTTGTCTGAGCTGTACAGCAGCCCTGTGTGCAAATAAGGAGGCACTACTTCCATTTCAAAGGAATGCGGGGAATGGACAGACGCAGAGAAAAGGTTTCCTGCAAAGGTTATGCAGCCAGTTAGCACAGAGCCACCCCGGGGACCCAGGGCTTTGGATGCCATCATCTGGATTCTCCTGCCACCCCTCCGGGGGCCCACCCCAGGCTGCGTGAAGGAGAGGGAGACGGAGGGTCACTGGGTCCCACTCTGCCCACCTCTAGCAGGCTTTGCTCCTTCAGAAACACCAAGTGGGTCCCTAGGCAGTCCGGCCTCCTCCCAGCACCTGCCCATCCTGCTACAGCGGGCTTTCTGACTTTCTGAGGTCCAGCTCTTGCTATCCAGCGAACTCCTTTCTCTGCCTCCTCCCCCTGCCACAAGGAATCAGCCACTAGGTGACTCCCGGAGTCTAATCGGAGACCTTCCTTGCACTTTCGGCCTCTGATGTATGTAAACCATCTGCTCCCTTTCCTCCCTCCCTCTCCTCTTGCTCAGGAGGGGGTTCAGACCTACAGGCAGCAGGAAGTGGAACCCCAGCTCTGTTGACTCAGCAACCATATTCCTCCTTAAGCTGATTAGCATTGGAGTGGAAAGGAGGGGAATTCGCTTGTCACTGGAGCTGGCACCTGCACCAGGCTGGGGGTGGCGTGATGGCTGCAGCACCTGGGCCAGGGGATTTCTGCGCCTCTGGCAGGAGAAGGAGCCCTGACAGGCGCTGATTGCCTTGAGCAGGCTGCACAGGCAGGACCACTGGAGTACCTGGGCCTGAGTGGCTTTGGGGTGGGTGGGGGGCAGTCTCTGTTTTGAGCCCTGAGGGCAACCCAGGGGCAGACAGTCCTGCCGCAAAGAGCCCCCAGTCTGAGACCAAAATAAGACCCAGGGCAGATTATTCCAGGAGGTTGAAGCCCAGAATACGGGCCCTGCCCTGGGACCGAGGCTGCCCTGAAGTGGGTCTGGGCAGAGAATGCTTCACAAAAGGGAAGAGAACTGGGTTCCAACTGAGGCAGAAGCCGACGGCCTTGGTCATGGCCTTGGTTGGAAGACACAAAAGAGTCTTGGGGCCGCTCATCCTCTAAGCCTACGGGCTCACACAGACTGGCAGTGCACTCTCCCCTCCCAGTCTTGTGCTTGCCCCTCTTTCTCTCCTGGCATCCACAGGAGACAGAGCCACGCTCTGGCCCTGGCTGCCTGCCCAGCCCAACCCAGTTAGGGAAGGAATACTTTGCAGAGAAAGGTCTGTGTCCCTTGTCTCGTGTCATCGCCAACAGATCTGTGACCCTTGCGCAGGTGTCTCTCAGCCCCCGACCCCTCTGCCTTCCACAACATGAGAGAGTCAGAGACAGAAGGAGCCGGGAGTACCTGCATTGCTGTAGGGGGAGGTGGTTGGTGATGATTTATTAGCCAGACAAGAATCAACAAACAAGTTCTAACATCTGTTCTCGCCAAACCAACCCCCAGACAGCAGCAGCATTGGAGCAGGGCCCAGACCCAAAGGCTCAGAGGACCAAGGAAATCAGACTCTGTGCGGAGAGGCCGGGGCAGTGGGAGGCAGCAGGCCCTCCCCGCCCACATCCTCAGAGGAGCACCAAACACTGAGGACTCTGGGAGGGAGCCGGTGAGTGTGTCCCTAAAAGGAAGTGGGTTCCACATTTGCTCCTCTGGCCTCCGGGCTTCTTTGTGGGAGGCCCAGACCTGTCAGGATAACAGGGCTACGCTGGGATCTGGAGGAAGGGGACCAGCACCCGGGACCCAGTGCGGTGGAACCCAGGAAAGCCACCAGACTTCCTATCTTAGGAAATTTTCTGACATTTCCTGTGAAGACAGTGGGGTCAGGAACATAGCACTACACGAGGGGCTTAGGAGGCCTGGGTCCTAGTCCTTGACCTCAGCCAAGTCATCCCACTGGCTTTGTTTCCTTATCTGCACAGCAAGGGAGTTGGACTTGATCAATAAGGGCAAAAAAAAAAAAAAAAAATGCTGCTCTTCTTCCTTCCCTCACCCATAGCAGACATCACTAATCAATCACGGCGCTCTTTTCTGCTGAGTTCAGATATGACCTTAACATCCTTTCCAAGGCAGCGCCTTAGAGCCTTAGGCAGCAAGGACCAATGGACTGGAGTTGGGATACAAGGTGACACATTTTTGCCGTCTTTGCAATAGGTGACAGCTGAGGTCCTTTTCCGCTTGGATCGATCGCCTTGTTCCATTCATTTCCTTAGGAGGGCACCTGGGTGTGTGTGAAGTTCTCTGGACCTGCTGTTCCAGGTTAGCCTCCCTCCGCTCAGACACTGGCTCCCGCGGAGGCCCTAGGGAGGGCCACGTCTTTCCTCTGTCCGGGAACTCCTGTCTAGGTTGTTAGGGAGGCTGTGTCCCCAGAGAGGCGGGGGCTGGCGGGGCACGGGAGGTCCTTGTCCAGCCACAGAGTTCTCGGAATGCAGTTGCTGGCCACCTGGATTCTGGAGAGAGAAGGACAGTCTTAGGGCACACCCCCGACCCTCTGCCTTTTAGGCCTAACTGCAGCCTCACAGGCCAAGACATCTGGTCTCAACAGACACTGGCCTGCACAGAGGAGGGCTAAATCCCTCTTGTCAATGCAACAAACATGTCCCGAGCACCTGCTCTGCCAGGCACTGTGCTGGGTGCTCTGGAAACAGAGGTGAGTAAGTCCCAGCCCTGCCCTCAGGGAACTCACACTCGGCCGGGCAGGGGAAGCCAGTGTCCGGCTGCTCAGTGGGTGGCAGGTGTGTATAAAACACAGTGGACACTCTGTGGTCGGGTCAGGGAAGTCCTTCCAGAGGAGAAGGGCAAGCTGGTCTTGTAGGATGAGTAGGACGCTCCCACCCCGCAGGAGGGTGTACTTGCCGGAAGTTGGTACGGGCAGAGGGGCTGGCGTGTGCCAACCCCAGGAGGCTTGAAACCACTTGGGCTACTTGGAGAAACACGACCAGTTCTGGGAGGGAGGGCGATAAAGCTGAGGAGGGGGACCCTCCCTCCGAGTATGGAGGGCCGCATGGACCAGGAAGCCGTTTTAGAAAGACCCTTCTGGCTTCCTTGGGGTACAGTGCGTCAGAAGTGGCAAGACTGGTGGTTAGAGACCAGCTAAGAAGCTCTTGGAAAAGTCCTGATGAGAGAAATGGGGCTTGAAACTGGGGAAAGGAAAATGTATTTGGGAGGAGACACAGCAGAAACCAGTGACTTATAGGGGGATGGGGGTGAAAAGGGAAGGTGTGGAAGGAGCCCTAGGATTCTGACTTGGGTGGTTGGGTGGCTGGAAGGTTATTGATCCTGATAGGGCACCTGGGAGGGAGCAGTCAGGGAAAAGGCTGGGGCAGTGCTGGCTGTGCTGAGTTCGAGAGGCCGTGGGACACTGGGGAGTTGAGCAGAAGCCTGAAGAGAAGTTTGGATAGAGACACGGACTGGTGACATCAGCTCCAGGGTGGCGGCAGGTGGCAGGGGTGTGGGTGAGTGTGAACAGATACGAGGGCTGCGGGGAGCCTGGGGCACCAGCAGGGAGAGAGAGTGGGAAAGGGCCTGAGGTGAGGAGGCAGCGGGAGGGGGTGGGGGCAGCCCATGACATACTGACTTGAACTGACCAGTGAGAAGACTGGGGAAGTGGAGGAATGGAAAAGGGAGAGGGGAGTGTGCACTGGGGGTGGGGTGGAGGGCATGTGCTCATCTGAGACGGCACAAGTCTCTTCCTCAGGATGGGCAGGTTGATAAAGGCGGGGGGAGGGGGCCCAAGTTCAGACTGGGAAGGCGGGGATGGGTGGGGCACAGGTTGGGGTCAGTCTCATGTGAGTTTAAGAAGACAGGCTGGGTGAGATGGACACCAACCAACACACAGGCTCTGTGTGGAAGGCCTTCGGGGGCTTGCTGGGGCCCCTGTTTTCTCTGTGAAGTAGGAGAAAACTGCTCCCAACTGCTGAGAGGTGGGAGGGGGTGAGGACTTGGCAAAGGGTCCCAGTGACTCTAGGAAGAGGAGCGGGAGCAATTGCTGGGCCTGCGAAAGGAGTGCTGGCAGCCTGGACTCTGTCCTCCCCATCTCACCTCAGACCTTCACCCTGACCCAGGCATCCAATCTGAACCCTTCCCAAACCAGCTTTCAGGAAGTCCTTCCTGTCATCTAGCTTTCCCCTGCTCCCCCATTTACCTGTCTTCCTGGGAGAGGCCTGGACCGGCACTTCCGGAGGACCGGGTGCCAGAGGATGCACGATGGGCCCTCACCCCCTGACGGCACCTCCATCTCCACCTCCACCTCGGCATAAATGTTGCTGGGGGCTTCCCCAGGGCTGCCCCGGCCCATCGCATAGAAGGCTATGGGTTCGTCCGGCTCGTGGTAGATGGGGTTGGAGGGCTTGGCGGGCAGGGTCCGGCAGAGTCTTGGCGCTGGGCTTGTGTAGGCTTCGGAGGATAGCAGAGGTTTGGCGGGGACGGGAGGCTTGGGTCTAGGCGGCTGGGAGGGCTAGGAGAGTGATGCCAGGGAGGAGAGTGGGTCAGAGCAACCAGGTAGGGTCGCGGCAGGAGCCCAGCCAGAGCTCGTGCCCTCTGCAGACACCCCTCCTCCCAGTGGCCCTACTCCTCACTGGCCATGCCTCCTTTTTGTCTCCTGGGTCCTCACCTCCCTCTGCCTGCCTCCTCCCAGTTCCTCCAGCCCAATACCTCCTTTGGCTCGCTGCCCCCCTCTTTCTGCGTGAGGGCTCTGGGCTTCTCCTTTTTGAGGACTGGGCTATACTGGGAGTGTGGGTCCTGGCTTTTGCTTGCAGCGTCTGCTTCTTCAGTCCTTAGGGAAAGTCCTGCTGGCTCAGGAGTCTGCAGGGAAAGGAGGCTTGAGGGACTTGGTTGAGCAGGGACAGTGGGTGGGACGGGCAGGTGATCCAGGAGGACAAAATAAACCAGTCCAGGTGGAGGATGGGGCGAGGGGCACAGAAATTCGGCCTGCCCTGGGTTCCCTGGGGGAGGACGAGGGCACAAGGATGGCAAGGAGACCGGGGGGCGGGGAGGTAGCTCTGGTCACGGCAATCTCTAGCATTACACTTAATTTCACCTGCAGCACAGGGCCAGGCTGGTCTTCGTTTGTGCCTGTGGTTGTAAACATGCAACAAGCCTGGAGGAGTCTTTAGCCTAACATTTTTTTGGCATGATAGATCTCCAAGACTGCTGTGCCTATGTTTATTCCTGCAGGGGCCAGAGGAATACTTTATGGAGAGATCAGCCAGATGTTTTAGGGCCGAGAGACCCCTTCAGAGGGGACGAGCCCTACAGTGGGACGCTTCCCTTCCTCAATAGGTGTGCTTTTAGTTCGGCATTTAACCCTGGGGTCATGGAAGCCCCCAGGTGGCTCAGGCCGTAGGATTTCCTTGTGCTCCTGCAATCCGCCAAGTGCACGTTCCATCATGGATCCAAATCGGAATTCTTATTCCCTGCCCCCTCCTCCTCCTCTCTCAGCATTCCCTTTATGAATAAAAAAGTAACACCTCCCTCCCCCCCTGCCATAGCAGTATCTTAAGAGTCAACCTTGACCCCTCCCTGCCCACATCTGATGGAACACAGCCCTGCTCCTTCCACTGCCTAAATATTTTTACATCTGCACACTTCTCTCCCTGCCCACAGCCGCCACACACAGTCCAGGCCTCTTAAATCCTCCCCTGTGTTATCTTGCCCTTTCAGCCCACTCTCCACTCTACGTGCGTGAGCCTGCAGAAACTCGCCTAGCAATCCTTCGGTGGCTGCCCCTTGCTCCGTGATAAAGTCCAAACTCCAAAGAGCTTGAGTGACAAGACCCTTTGAGACTCCATCATAGAGGTTGGTCTCCAACAGTTCTGCCTTCAGCTCTGTCAGTTCCAGCTGGTTCCCCTCACCTCCAGACTTCCCTACACCCCGTTCTCACTGCTCCAGAATCTTCAGGTCTCCCCTATTCCTCACAAAATTCTATAGGAGTTGCCTATAAGGCATAGTTCCCATTTTTAACAAAAGATTTTTATTGATATTTAGAGAGAGAGAGAAACATCAATGTGAGAGCAAAACATCGATTGGCTGCCTCCTGCACACCCCTACAGGGGATCGAGCCCGAAACCCAGTCATGTGCCCTGACCAGGAATCAAACCAGCAACCTTGCAGAGCATGAAATGACACCCAATCAACTGAGCACACCAGCCAGAGCGACCCCACTTTTTTGAGCTGATTCCAATCAAGCTCCAAGAAACCATGCTTGCCCAGGTCCCCAGTGAGTTCTTGGCTAAATTCAATGGTCCGTTCTGGACCCCTAGGCACTTGCTCTTCCCTGACTTGCTTTTTTTTGCTTGGCTTCCAGACCATCACACTCCTGGTTTTCTCTTCTCTCTCTCTCTCTCTGCTCCTTCTCAATGTTCTTTGTAGGTTCTCCCTCATTTCTGCAAACTCTAAATGCTGAAGACGTGGTAGTCCTTTCTTTTCCATCTAACTCACTCCTGGGTGAGATTTCACCCCTCCTGAAGGCTTTAGAATCAATCCAGCTACATGCTGATGACTCTAAATATTTATCTCCAGTCCAGACCTCTCTCCCAAACTCCAGACCCGTGTATTCCAACTGCCTACTTGCCATCTCCATGTGGACATCGAATGGCCATTTCAAACTGTCCACATCAAAACTGACCTCCTGATCTCCACTGCCCCCAGACTGGCCCCTCCATAGCTTCCTCCTCTTGTGGCAGGATAGGAAGAAACTGGGGAAATTCCTTGATACGTGGAATTAATGGAAACCAAGACAAAATAATTAAACAAGGCCAAACACGTTGAGCAATTTGCAGCCAGCTAATGAAGCAGAAGGTTTTATCTTCCCTAACCAGGGACACTTAGGCGCAAATGGTTTACACACTCCAGACTGTCCCGGGGCAGACCAGCCTCGGTCTGGTCCCTCTTCAATAATGTTTGTTGAAAGTGAAACTAACCCCCGACCCCGCTATCTGCACATTCTGATGAATCAATATAGTGAAGGACACACCTGAAAGGCTAATGAACATTCTCCTAAGACCTCCCCTAGGATTCCACTGGGCCAACGAAAGATAAGAAGCCTCAAGACAAAGGGCTCACAGTGCTCAGCTGGTTTGGGTCAGTGGACAGAGCATTGGCCCACAGACTGAAGGGTCCTGGGTTCGAGGCCAGTCAAGGGCACATACCTCGGTTGCAGGCTCGATCCCCTGCTGCATGTGGGAGGCAACTAATCAATGTGTCTCTCTCACAACGATGTTTCTGTCTCTCCTCCCTTTCACTCTCTAAAAACTATTGAAAAAAATGTCCTCAGATGAGGATCAACAACAACAAAAACCACGAAGGGCCCACAGCGGATTCTTGTTAGAGCATGCCTACAGCTTGTGTCCGTTGTGTCTCCTCTCACTAGAATGCAAGCTCCGTGAAGGCAGAGATATTTCGGTGAGTTTTGTTTACTGTTACTTTCCCAGGCCAATGCCTGGCACAGAGTGGTCCCTCAGAACTGCCTGAACTTCCTCAGGGAGGTAATTCCTGACACAGCTCTCCTCTCTCATCACACCCTCACAATTGTTTCCCATTATTTGTCTCTTTGCTGCTGGTTAGTAAGCTTTGTGGGTTTGGAACCCATCTGTCTGACCATGGTTCTATTTCAAGAGCCTGCAGCACCTGGGACATGCTGGGTATTCAGTAAATATCTTTTTCCCCCCTCAAATTGATTTTTAGAAAAAGAAGAAGGGAGAGGGATGGAGAGATAGAAATATTGATGAGGGAGAAGCATTATCAATTTTCTGCTTCCTGCATGCCCCCTACTAGGGATCAAGCAAGAGAGGGGGGCGACATCTTGGTTCCTGGGTCGATGCTCAACCACTGCGCTACACCGGCTGGGCAATAAATATCTTTTAATTAAAAACAAAACAAAAACACAAAACAAATGGCTGCCTGACCGGGTGGCTCAGTTGGATGGAGCATCATCTGAGACACCAGGGTTTTGGGTTGATCCCTGGTCAGGGCACATACAGGAACCAACCAGTGGAGGCATGAATGGGTGGCACAACAAATCGGTATTTCTCTCTCTCTCTCAAATTAATAAATGAAAACAACAACAAAACAAAATAAAACCCACAAATGCCCCAGGTGCCGGACTAGGTCCTCAGAAGGCCGTGTCTCTGGCTGGGCTGGTCTCCCAAGGATTCCCACCCAGCAGGCACCTTCTCCACGGAGAGGCGGGCAGGAGCGGGGCTGGGCAGTCCTCCCGCCGGAGAGAGTGCCCTGTGTCCCCGGCTCTGTGAGAAGGGGCGCTGGGCAGGTGGGGATGGGGGTGGACAGGGCGGAAGGGGGGGTCAGGGGGAGGGTGGAGGTCAGGGAGCTGGCGGGCGAGGGGCTGGCTGA